AATAAAAGGAAATAAAAAAGTGTATGATACGAGTGAAATAAAATTAGCTTCAAATTTAGATCTTCGCATGATACGCGACTATATACGGTAATTAAAGAAGTTGGGAGTAGGAAATTAATATTATGAGGATATGGAAGATAAATAAATAATGATTCTTGACTTGAAGATTATCGCCTTCGGACAAGCTTCCACGCAGTTGTCTGTTTCACAATGTAGCCATTCCACAGCTTTATTCTTTTACTAATGTTCACATGATTCAAGACAATGAATCCACATAACGTAGAAGATATTTGAAAGGAGAGGTGCGATAAAAAATAGTTGGATTGATTGATTTGTTTGCTTAACGGCACATCAACATTTTATGGGCCATTTAATGCCGACATTTATTTTGTTAGTGCTTTGAAGTAATAAAAACATGATAAATGTTATTCTGCTTTCACAATTGAATCCATGGTAGATGATACTCAGCTTTTGTGCATATACATGTTTGTGTTGATTTAATTACTAGAGGCGCTGATATGTGTGTTTTATATTGTAGTTTTGTGGAAGTTATATTTTGGAATACAATTTGATTTCTTTGAGAAATTGTAGGATATTATATGGATTAATGTCATGAAAGTTCTTTTATATTGGTTGGTTGATTTTGTTTAGCGGCATATCAACATCTTTATGGGCTATTTAATGTCGAAATCTAAATATTCTGAACACGGCTTCAACCAAATATTTTGAATGCCTTCAACTACAGTTAAAATATATTGTTGGTCATTTGTCTTTAAAATTATTTTCTTGTCATTTTTTTATAAATAAGTTTTATTTTACTCTTCATAGGTATCGTTGGTAATTTTACTATAATATATATATATATGTGTGTGTGTGTGTGTTATTTCTTCTCTCACAGTGCAAAATTGAAATGCAATGTCAATCGCTATCTTTTGTCTTCTTAATTCTTGTTCTTTCATTGTCCTCTCTCCTGAATAGTAATTTTTTCTCATATTCTTCAACATTCAGTACTTCCTTGCATCTTAGTGGCTTTATTGCCTTTGATCTGAAAAAAATTGAAATGCAATGGCAATTGTTATCTTCTGTCTTCTTAATTCTTGTTCTTTTATTGTCCTCTCTCCTTAATAGTATTTTTCTCATATTATTCAACATTCAGTACTTCCTTGCATCTTAGTGGGCTTTATTGCCTTTGATCTTCAAAAATTAAAATCCAATGTCAATCGCTATCTTCTGTCTTCTTAATTATTGTTCTTTTATTGTCCTCTCTCCTTAATAGTAATTTTTCTCATATTCTCTAACATTCAGTAACCCCTTGCAGCTTAGTGGCTTTATTGCCGTTGATCTTTAAGTTATACTTAAAAATGCAAAGTTCTATTCAAAAAAACCCTAATATATATATATATATATATATATATATATATATATATATATATATAGATATTTATATATATATATATATATGGAATCTGTGGAGTTAAGCTTCAAGATAAGACATCTAACGTAGAAAAAAATTTTAACAGGTGTACTATTGGAGGAATCGAGACTTTTATCATACAGTCTCAGTTACGGTGAACTGGTCATGTTTTGAGAATGTTTGATGACAGGATACCCAAGATCCTAATGTACAGCCAGTTAGATCAGGGCTACAGGAATGTAGGACGCCCATGGCGAAGATGCAAAGACAAGCTGAAAAGCAACTTGTCAGCAGTTAATATACCACATAACAACTTTGAGCGATTAGCCTTGGAGCGGGTAGAATGGAGATCAACATGTTTTAGTGGACTCAGCAATTTTCAATCTGCTTGTCTGAATCATTTTCAAGAAGCGAGAGTATGATCTAAAGAGGTGTAAGTGATAAAATGAAAAAGAGTTCTTCGAACAGGGGACAATTATAAGATATAATCAATATGGTGTAAGAACGGAAATATAGAAATTAGAATTTAGAATTAGTTATACATTCGACAGTTGAAGAATTAAAGAAATATAGTAATAAAGTGAAATAGATTTGTTTTTAAAACAGTTTGAAATTATTCCAAACTGATCTATCATATTTTATTGGCATAGACCTTTAACATACTAAGCAAAGACACTATTTGTTATTAAAAAAACATTATTTGGTTTAAGAAAAAAATTAAACTCTTCAAATAAAGTATAAATTCCCTTAGTAAATTCACTATTCAATTTGTATATTTGTGTATAAATACATTTTTTTATTGAATATATATATATATATTATATATATATATATATATATATATATATATATATATATTAGTCATCGGTGTGATTAGTTTGTTTAAATACCAGAAGGAATTATATATATATATATATATATATATATATATATATATATTATATGATAAAAAACAATATCACGTATGGTAAAAACTTGACCGGCTTTATCTCTTTGACTCTACCCCAGCTATGGTTTAAATAGCAGGACAGATGTTTTCATATAGCCTTGGTTGGTAGCCAGTCTAATGTAGAAAGAAACGGTAGCCTACTGCGGGAATATCTTCTGTCTAGTAACTAAGGAATCGAAAGCGACCAACCGTTTATCTCATATGGAAGTTGACTAATTCACTAAAGAAATGACCCAAAAGCCACTCAAGGTAGAGTGTTAATAACGTGGATGATAGAAGCGTAAGAGGAGGAGGTAGTAAAAGAGAATTCTGAGGATGCGATGGATATATAACATTTGAGGTTAATATTACAAGGTTCGTAGAATCAACCACGTTGTGGTTTCTTAAGAAGATTGAGGAAACTTCTTGCCATTGGAAGACGTAGGAAATGAAATAATGTACGGCGAAAGGTTGATTATTGGCTGTAAAAGTCTTAGCCATTATTCAGTGAAGTCTTTATAATCACGTCGATGTAAGGCCCTTAGGATAGGCATGGATCAATTTTATTTTTAATGCCGTTTTACTTATATATATATTTTTTATATTTATCTATATATATGTTTCAAAGAACCTTCGCTTGTATTTCTTTTAATGTCTGATTTTTTTTTATTCATACAATTGCGTACGCTTGACATGTTTCCCTAGAAATCAATAAAAAGATAAAATTTATTCTGAGGGAAAAAAATAAAAAAAATTAAGCTTATTTCGAAGTAAACTTAATTAAAACTTACCCGAAACTAAACTTAAGTTCAGTTAATTAAATCCAACAATTCCCAAAGACTATTTTGAAATTAAAATCCCTAATCTCATTTGCATTCTGTCTATCCCCCATTGTCGATAAGAATTTATTTTATTTGCTGTTGAGTTTTAAACATTCTGCTATGATAGACAACCAATGTCTATTATCGTCAGCAAATATCTGTATTTCTGTGTGTTTATGTGATTTTTTACCATAACTCAGCAAAAAAAAAAACCCCAAAAACAGTACGTCGTAGTGCTAATTCTATTAACGCAATACAGTTAAAATAGACTAACTTGGCCACTGAATTAATCTTCACTCCATTCAGCCTCCTGGTTTCTTGGTAATTTTGAAATGTGTATAAAATTTTACAAAGATATGTGTCCGAGTAAGATAAATCCACTATAAAAAAAAACAGCAAACAGAAAATTACTGAATTCGTTTCATCCATCTGCACACATCGTCAGCAGCCATAGTGACATGATGATACTTTAATAATAATAATGATAATCCTGTAGACTGTAAAGTATCTTTGACGATCTTGAAAAACTATAAAAATACAATGATCTTGAAATCGGAATCTCGAAAATGTGTCACGTGAGGGCATCAACAATTCTGTTTGTAGTTGGAGCCCTCGGTTTGATTGGAAAATGTTCCGATATATTCATTGACGGGATTCATTGTAGCCCAAGCTTTAAAGAAATACGAAAGACATTACTCCCAAGTACAGCTCACACCTTACGAAGGGATTTATTTACGTAATAGGTGTTTGATATTAATTTTCTTTTTCAAAAATGCTCTGGGGAAATTGATATGATGCCATTTCTGAGCATTGGTTTCTGGTTGGGACCCGGAAAGAAAGAAATATACACAAAAACATCAAAGAAAATACTAATAAACAAAAGGATTAATGTATTTTGCAGCGCTTATAGAAGGCCATGTTTCAAGAAATGAAAAAAGTAAGACACTTTTAACAATGTTTAACCATGTTTCGATGTCTTCTTCAGGTATAAAATTTTCATACTAGCATAACAAATATAAAAAGGTCAGTCAGTTATATTCCATGCGTGATACACGTTTAGGCGATCATTTATCTTTCGATACATGACTGAGGAGGCAGATTTTTTCCCGCAGTAGCCATCCTGCTAATTTATTTATATCTAGTGGAAGATGAAGAGGATTCATACTTTTCACAAGGGTATTGGCCCTACAGGGAATGTAATGGATTCGACTGGAATTCAAGCTCGGCTCTCCGATTCCTCAATCCGAGCTGCCATCCACTACTCCAATATATATATATATATATATATATATATATATATATATATATATATATATATATCTTCTTTTTCGTATATTGCTTAATGTATTGTACAGTAATTATCATCTTTGATAATGGCTTATGTAAAGCCGAAAGCTTAGATTGGATTAAAAAAAATGTATCAATATTGTGATTTTTTTTTCTTCGTTTAATGATAATGTTATTAAGCTTATCTGACGTTATGTAAATAATTTACATAAATTAATAGACAAAACTTGTCTATATTATTTAATGAAACATGTATGAATATATATATATATATATATATATATATATATATATATATATATATATATATATATATGTTAATATCTATTAATCTATGCATCTTTCGCTCTCTGTCGTTTCATATCTATCTATCTATTCATCTATCTCTCTATCTATAAGAGTCTATTCTTATTCATCTATCTATCTATTTATTTATTTATCTATCTATCTATCTATCTATCTCACTCTGTTCCTATCTATCTATCTTGCTATTTTAATAGTAATATAAATATATATATATATATATATATATATATATATAGAAAGAGACAGAGAGTGAGAGGAGGGTTTAGATAGATAGATAGAGAGAGACAGAGAGAGAGAGAGAAAGAGAGATGGAGCGAGATAGAAAGAGATAGATATCCTATTGAAATATTTTTGTATATTTCTTTTCTGAAAGTTTTCCAAACATGTTTTTATTCTCCCCCTTCTCTCCGCATCCGTTTTGTTTATCCGCGTTTTCTCAGTCTCCTGTTCGTTTGGCAAACAGCTTCGTGAAATATGCAAACATTTTAGTCCCAAGTGCTTTCATCTGGGCATTACCTATTCTCAGTTCTCTTCTCGTGCACGTAAAGACCTCTCCAAAAGAAGTTGAATCGGCCCAACGCAGACACCGAATATAAATAAATTAGCAACGCAAAAACGGCCTCACGTTCTTGCCGACATCTGGTCGACGCGCGGTTTTGGCCTAACTTAGCGTAACGGCAACTGGCGGAGAAAAATGTGCCGCGTTCGAATACTGGCTTAGTATATTGTCTTCGTTTCACTATCCTTCAAACTGATAACTAAATTCGCCGACAATGTGCAGGTTAAAGACAAGAAGCTTTCGGTTTCACCAAAACCTGCTCCCGTAATTCATGCCCTATCGCCGTTTGGCTTTGCAAGATTTGAGAAATTTTCTCATGCATGTGGATTTTAGAGTCTTTTCTTTGGTTCCATGAAGGTAGCTAGGAATCGAGAAATCAGTGCAGGGGATTGACCAGCTAAGGTTAGTCTTGCAGAGAGCTAGTATATCAGGAGAAGAGGAACGATTCCACACTGCAGAAATTGATACGAATGCCACGATGTTTGAGAAGGAACTTTTATAGGGTTTAAGATGATTTTTGAGCTAGCTTGGGTGATATATACGCTTGCTTATGGTCTTGTTGATTCATGTTGTTAAGGAAAAATCCTAAAGTAATAAAAGCAGTCGGTCAACAATTGTGCCAGGAGCAGAAAGGAACTCGTACAGACTGCAACATAATGTGGTCTCGGGGTTGCCCACCTGAGGTGCATTCAGAGACATCCACCCATGCACGACATGACACTGCAAGAACCCCGATGCTGTTGCAACTTTTGATCAGAGCATCCTCTCAAGACGCTACGCAAGATTTTGGGCTCCTGACTATCAGTCGGGAACAGCAACTAGAAAACTGCCAGCCCGGTACCCTCAGTATGAAGAGACGTTGCCACAAACCGCACACATCAAAAGAGATTCACGACAGCTAGAGAAAATGAAAAGATCCGGAAACTCCTTCCTAAACGGGTAACAAGTGGTGAGCCTCTAATCCTGTTCAAAAGAAGGGGCAGGAGTATTAGCCGGACGATAGGGAAGCCTATCTATTCCTATAAAAACAACAACAGAAAGAAAAAAACAACTGGAGAGCCAAGCTGGGTTGGTAGCCACGGCGCGGGTTATGTACAGTGGGCTATTATAAGTTTTTAGCCACCCTTAATTACAGCAATTTTGACTTGTGTAATAACGTCGCTTCTTTTTTTTCAGACACCGTGTTAGTTTCCAGCTACTCTCATCTATGAACAATAGATGACTTATATTTTGCAATGAAAGTTCGTGGAAGTAAGGAAATTAGTGAATTTCAACAAGGGCAAATAATAGGATGGCATCAGTGTGGCAAGTCAAATAGAGAAGATGCTAGCTTTCTCCAGGTTAATCATCAAACGGTTAATAATATTGTCAAGAAATTAAATGAAGAAGGCCATTGTTGTGTGGAACAACGTTCAGAAGGACAAAGCATCGTGTCTGAGCGAACGAAAAGGGCGCTGAATAGGGAAATCATCAGAAACCGTCGTCAGAGCGTCAAAGATATCGCCAACAGCATTGAAATGTCGCCATATGCGGTGAAAAAGATTCTGAAAGACGTAAGCTATCAAAGAAAAGTCGCAAGAAAGAAGCCCTTGATTTCAAAGGTTAACAGGAACCTTCGTATGAATTGGGCGAGAGAATTCAAGAGCAAAGATTATGAATTTTAACAGTCTGTAATTTGGTCAGATGAAAGTAAATTCTGCCAATATTCGAATTCGAGATTGATATATGTTTGGAGAAATATGAATGAGACTTGGAACACTGAAAGTTTGCAAGCGACTGTGAAACATGGAGGGATTGGAGTAATGGTGTGAGGCGCTGTCTTATTTAGAGGAAAACCTGAGTTGATTCTTGTTGAAGAGTCGTTTAAAATACTGTAAATATTAGAGAAAGGACTACTCCCACTATTTAAAAACAATCAGATTGACAAGAATGTCTACCTTTTTCAAGAAGATGCAGCACCATGTCATACTAGCAAAGTAGCAAAGGCCTTGAAGGAATCGCAAGGAATCAAGTCACTGCCCTGGGTAACCCTAAATCCTGACATGAATCCAATAGAGCACGTTTGGGAAAAACTTGACCAAAGACTTCGAGAGCGTGCAACCAAAATCACGTCAGTGGCAACCCTTAAAAAAACATGGCTAAAGGAAGGGCAATATATGGCTCAGACGATTGTTGATAACTTGATCAAATTCATAAACCATGGAATACAAGGAGTGAAATTAGCAAATGAAGGACCTACTCCATACTAGTTTCAAATACTGTTTATTTATGTTGTATTGGGTTTATGTAATTAAATTTTGAAATTGGATGTAGTTTATTTCTCCTGGCTAAAAACATTTCTTAGGCCACTGTATGTATAGATCGCTGGTGGGCTAGATGTCTAAAAGATACGTTGGGAGAAGAGGGTAAAGAGAAATGCTTGAGTATTCACTAGACCCGCCCATATGGATTGTTATTCATGGCTAGAGGAGAAGCATATGAGTTTGGGGTGGGGGTTATGGATAGGTAATCTGGAATGTAAATGTAAAGTTTTAACTTTGGTAAAGTCCAACATTGATATCTCGTAGAAGAGAACATTCCAATGCCTGTGAGCCACGATTAAAAAATAACGGACCCGAAAAATCACCAAAGAAATACTATTCAAAGTTTCCAAAGACGAAAACAGAGGGTAAAATAAATTCAATCCAATTTAAAAAACAAAAAAAAAATGGAAAAGTTTGTAACGGGGAAAAGCGAGAGAGAGGGAGAGAGAGAGAGGGAGAGAGAGGGGGAGAGAGAGAGGGAGAGACAGAGAGAGAGGGAGAATAAAAAAATGATTGCATCTCTTCTAAAACATGTTCCACCATGAATTTACTCATGTGCTGAGTCCCTTCGGAACACCCCTGATCACGGCCCACCACAATTTTCTCTCCTTTGTAGCTCTTAATAATTTTTTTGTTATTTCTCGCAAACATTGTTCCGCCATTCATTTACTCAAACTCATTCTTCTTCTTCTATGTGCCATGTCCCTTAATGTCATAGGGGATCATGGCTCTCCACTATTTCCTTTTTTGTAGCTCTTAATAATTTTTGTCTTTTTTTTAATCTCCCCTAAACCTTGTTCCACCATCAAATTTACTCAAGCTGCTCGTTGTTCTTCTACTATGGGCTGTATTCCTTCAGAACACTGATGATCATGGCCCTCCACAATTTCCAATACTCACTGAACTTGGAGCGGGGAATTAACAGGAGATAACAGATAACTGACATCCATTAAACATGGCACCTGGAACTAGAACAATCTACCCCAGTGAGCGAAATAAAGTTCGACATTCCAACCATCTGATGAAGGCCGGAGCGTACAACGGCCGAAACGTTGTAATAAATATGACGACAAAGATGAGGATAATAGTCCGAATAATGTAAATAGTGTACATAATACCTCATCATATGAATATAGACAGATACAAAATGACCTCATTCGAATAGCTTTTTTCGGCCCATAAGACTTACTTCTTGGGCTTTTCAAATCAGAGGTATGAAGAAATAAATATGGAAGCTTAAAATTTCAACAATTAAAGACTAAACAAAGAAGAAGAAGAGGGAAAAATTAAAAAGAAATAGAAAAAAGAAAGAAAGAAGAATAAAAAGGAAGCTGCAGTTGAGAATCCATACAAATTTAAATAAACTCCTAATATCATGGCAGTGGGGTGTGTCTGGTTCAAGAAGAAAGTTAAAATAACCTTTGACCTATATTTTAAAATATTATCTCAAATTAGGTTGGAAAAGAATGACAAAGTTAAAGACATCTGTGCAAATAATTTTACAAATTAAAATAGAAAATATTAAATATTAATTCTAAATCAGAGAACAAAAAAAAAATACAAGAAAAAAACCATCGATAATTTATATAAGGAAAATTACTTAAAACTATTTAAAAATTTGAGATTTCCTTTAAAAGATTTTTAAGAAAGATTAAATAAAAAGATTTAAAGTTAAAAAAGAAAATTAAAACAATATATAATATACAAGTAATAATAAATATGATATAATAAATAATATAATTATTAAATAAATTAATTATTAAATAAAATTATAAAATAAAAATAAAATACAATTTTGAGGTAATTAATATTAATTTAATTTTAATTAATATAAATTTATATCTAATATTTCATATATTAGTAACTCTATATTTCTGAGATTAGGTATTATATACACTATTTACATTAATAGCAAGATTACCTCGCTAGCTCAATTACGACTATGTAGTGAGTTCGATCCTCACCGGGTAATCCAAACTTTTGATCTTTTGCTAGAATAAAAGGCACTTAGACGTGGTGTAATGGTTAACAAGCTCGCTAGATCAATTACGGCTTCGTAGTGAGTTTGATCCTCACCGGGTGCTTCAGACATTTGGTCTAGCGCCACAAGAAAAAGCACTTCGACGTGATGTAATGGTTAACAAGCTTCTCTCACTAGATCAATTAAGGCTTTGTAATGAGTTCGATCCTAAGCGAGAGCTCTACATTTTCGGCCTCATGCCACATCTAAGCTACGTCGAGAAAAATCTTTATAATGTTTGAATTTTGCAGTAGTAACGTTCTCAGCAATTTTAAACCATTGACGATTTTCGATAAGGAACATCATACGTGTAAAAATATTTTGCTTTAGAAACGAGAAACATTGAATTTTTTTTCCTCTGGAGAAGAATTTTTTTTTTCTTCCAAAATATATTTTTTGGTATTTTCAGATGAATAAATCAGAAAATTTTCAGACGCAGCCGCATGTGTAAATCACAATGTCATCAGTCATTAAATTATACGTAATGATCAATATTTAAATTGTAGAAAAAAATATTTTCTTTGAATAAAAAAAACAATATCGACTTTTTCCCCACTTCTAAGGCAGAGGTTTCCTTGTATGGTGTTCTGTAGTGAAAATATTCGCTTTAATTTCAACAAAAAATTATTTGAATTTTTTTTTTCTTTAGTCTTGTAATAAGCCAAAAATAACCAAGGGGTCAGAAAAGGTGACTCGTATCTGCATCCGTAGCTCCTATATGTTCCATCTTTTATTATGAAGATAAATAAAAATAATTTTGGACTATTATCATCTTTTCGCATTGATTTATTACAACGTTTTGGCCTTTGTCTGAGATGAGTCATATGTTAACAGGACCCGGTAGGGTGCATATTTATTACTAAAACTTGTGCCAGACACGGCTAAACTACCTTACAAGCAAAGTAAAAAAAAAAAAATCGTGAATGAACAATGAGAGAATCAATCAACAAGTGTGATAAAATAAAATATGAGATAGTGAAATAAAAAAATGACAAAGACATCTGTTTATAAAACATGAGTAAACAAAACTTTAATTAAACATTATTCAATGAAAAGTGTTCCGCGCCAAATTGTCCTCGGGAAAAGAAAGTTTTACAGTTCTTTGCGCACAGATGCCATAACTGTGGATAAAAAGTGATTATGCATATTTTTAATGTACAAAGGTTAAAAAGAATGTTCGGTAAACATTGAATTGACCGCTGGTAAATGTTCTGGACTGCTGTGTGGGGCATCTAGATGATATAATGGTCTATTTAGAATGATTTACGGCGAGCCCAAAGAGAAAGAGAAAAAAATATTTTTTGTTCAAAGGTAATCTTTGTGATGCTGTGGGGCAAAATTTAAAATGGTCAGAACGATTTACGGCGAGCCCAAAGAGAAAGACGAAAAATTTTGTTCAAAGGTAATATTGTGTTGGCCGCTGGTAAATGTTCTGGACATTGTGGGCATCTAGCCGAGGAGAAACGAAACATGGTCTTGTAGAATGATTTTGGGCGAGCCCAAAAGAAAAACGAAAAAAATATTTGTTCAAAGGTAAACTATCCCTGCCTGTATTATTTGGTTCGAAGCCTTTAAGTTTAAGTCACCTGTTGAACACGAAGTTTCTGCCGACGAGTGTCGTGTCTCTAAAAACGTCTTCTGGTAGAAAACGGAGAAAAAAGGTCCTGACCTGTGATTAGCAATTTGTTCGTTCAGTAGGACATCCCTGCCTATACTTATTAGGGCCCCTGTCGAGGGATAAAAATACGCCATTAGTTGCATACGAACTTTTGTCGCGACAGTGTCGCGTATCTCTAAAACATCTTCCAGTGGAAAACGGAAAAAAAAGGTCCGACCTGTTGGCAGCTTCAAAAGGAGAAAAAGTCTTGGTAGAGGGTGCAGTCGACATTGTTGAAAAATAAGATATTCCGGCCCGCATATGATTTAAGGGCACGGAATAAATGAGTTGCCCGGTCTACTCAGGTTGAGGATAAGGGTTAAAATTTTTAAACGCTGGTCGTTTGAGACGCTGCGAAACGCGGGGAAAATTCAAAATCTATCATGAGTTAATCAGTAGCAGTTAAAAAGGAGCTTACTGCTATGTTTAGACACATGGAGTAGGGGTGAAAACAATAGCGCACACACGCACGAGTGTGAAAGGAAGGAAAAACAAAATTATAAATGGAATTAATGTTAATTCCATATGTACACTATTTACATTATTCGGAATAATCATCTCTATTGCCATATTTATTACAACGTTTCAGCCCTTCAGTATCTGTCTATATTTTTGAGATGAGGTTAAATGAGGACAATATTCGGACTATAATGTAAAAAATTACAATATTTATCACAACGTTTCGGCCGTTGGCGTAGTCTTCAGGCTTTCGAACTGCGAATAGCATGTTTGATGGAAAAAAGTTTCAGTTATCTCCTGCTAATTTTTCCCTCTGCTGTCAAGGAACATGGAAAGTGGCGTTGGATTATTGAGTTCAATACCCGGTTAAGATGAGGACAATAGTCCGAATAATGTAAATAATGTACAAATTATGAGTTTGGTACTTTTCGGCGTAGTCCACTTTAGCGTAGCTGATTCGGCGTCAGAAACATAATTGGATTATTAGGCACAGCCGTTTAGGCATCAGACTGTTTAGTCATCACTGTCTACCCCCCCCCCCCAACCAAAAAAAAAACATTAAAAGCACCCAATTTTCAATATGACTTTTTATTCATTCAACTGGCGTTATCTAATTTAAATCGATCTTTCTGTTCACATCGCCAAAACTTTAATTCATTATCCCTCTTGCTGGTTACGTCAAAAATAAATAGGTATTCATCGTCTATTATTTTGTTTCTACCACGTTTTGATAAAATATTTGCTTCCATTTGGGGATAAAATGGCTTTGACGATTGAAAAATATAAAGCTGTTCTGAGAGAAATATAAAAATACCTCCAATTACTATTTTTCTTAAATTGGACTATTTCAGAATATAACGACCAAGTACTAATTTGACTAATAAACGAGAAAGAGAGAGAGTTTATTAAACACTGTAATCTTACTTATTATAAAACGCAGATTGTGTATGAGTCTGTACGTTTATATATTGGATCGGATTTCCTACATTTTTCAACCAATTTCAACAAAACTTCACAGGACTGCGTAAAATTACCTTGCGGTGGTTCTGACAGCGCCAAAAACTGGAAAAACACAATTGTTTCTGCACGAAATCAATTTGAAAACACGATAAAACACGATTCTGTCGCCAGAATGAAAGGGGGATAACTCATATCGACTCATTATTATAAAACACAGGTTGTGTGTGTGTGTGTGTGTGTGTGTGTGTGTGTGTGTGTGTGTGTGTGTGTGTGTTCGTTTATATATGGGATCGGATTTCCTACATTTTTTCTACCGATTTCAACAAAACTTCACTTTGTTTTTGGCAGGTAGTATTTCTTCTTGTCTTGCACACTTTTTTCTTTATTTTTACATTCAGAATGCTTTAAAAATTCCATTTACAA